CAGAAGTCCGACTAAAAGGGTCCCGCCCACACATGTTGTACGCGAGGTCCGCTTCGTGCTACCCGCCCGGACAAATGCGAGGGTCTATGGCTCAAGTTTCTCAAACAGCGAGAAACCTTACGAACGAAACCTTTCGGCTCCAGCTAGATTTTATTATTTACTTAAAATATGATATTATTAATAATAATAATAATAATAATAATAATAATAATAATAATAATAATAATAATAGTATCTTTACTCGAGTTATATCTTGAGTTCAAATAGCATGAAGATGTAATTGTTCAATTCTTGCTAATGATTAATGTCACTACATGTGCTTGAACGTTTTGCACAAAACGCATAAGAATTTATTCTCACTACAATTGCCGAATGTATAGTACACTATTTTTAAATTTAACCAGAATAAATAAAAAAAAACAATAAATCATTTAGAAAACAGAAATGCACAACAGCATTGAAGAAGAAAGATAACGTAGTTGACCACAAAATTACAACAATAATGTTGGAACGTTTCTTCTGGACCAAGTATTGGCGTCCGGTTTGCGAAAGTACATTAAATCTAAATAAATTGATATAAAAATCTAAGGTCCGAGGAATTTGCATGAATCACTCAGTGTTGAACTAGACGTGAAGACTGCAGTTGGCGTATTGAGATCGGCTCTTGTGACTATATAACACTTTTACATTTATTTTAATTGGTTTTCATTACAGCAGTTTTCAGCCACGAGTCGTGTTTTCTTGAGTTTCTCTAGTCGGAAACTTCGGATACGTCGAATTATTTCCGCTCGGAATGTAGGAAATGAGTGTGAAAGCGCGATCATTGGTCCACAACTAATTTGTGCAAACAGGGGAAGAGAAACGGCGTGATAGCGCACGTGAAGCCTTCCAGTTGGCGAGCGGACGTGCGAGGTAACTCGTGAAGTCCACTACGCATAGATAAAACCATTTTTGGGGCCGTATGTGCCGAACATTCTCCATCCAATAATTACGAGAGGTACGGACACAATGGTGGAGAAAGGAACTAGAACACCCAAAGAAGCGCTGTTCAGATTCTGTTAAGGCCGAAGAAAGAACCGTTGAATTCGAATGATATGTGAGAATTTTTTGAATGCCATGTGAGTATTAAACATTTGTCCGATTTACCAAATATTGTTAAAAAATAATAAGAAGATGCACCGGTTGCATTCCTATGTAATCAACCCACTGCACGAGTCTGAACGTGTAACAATTCGAATAGCTATTGCACAATACAGTCATATCATGCTCTTTAATATCTTTCAAAAAAGTGAAGGTAATGGTGCAGAACAGTCACTATCTCGTCACGTCACTTCTGATCCGTGTTATGATATACAGCCATTATATTTTGATCGAAGGTGTCATTGGTGAATGATCCTATTGGCAGCTATCACTTAAATGTATTCAGTAACAGTAGACAGAACTAAAGATATTCAGAAAATGGACCATGATGTAAAAATACCAGGCATGAAGGAGGAACCAGAAGATTTCCGTCGAAACCATAAAAGTTATTTCTTTTCCATCGTACACTTTTCCCTCTGAATTGTGAATTCAAGTAATCAAATTGTTAGCGCGAGGACCTTATTGGATCGCCTTGTTAGCTTTTCAGTTCTCGAAACGACGTCTGTAAGAGTGATCAGCAGTGGGGTAAAATACGCTTGCTGCTAGCCCGTCCAGGCTGAGGAAAAATCATCCGCCCTCCACTCGAACCCTCTCCCTGGCTTTACGACCCGGCCACTCGTACAACGCTGCCACAAGAACATCATTGTCCTTATTTAGTGCGTGAAAAAGTCGATACATGAAAATTAATGCGATTCATGATATTATGATTAATATGACAAATAAAATACATCTTTCGAAACTAATAGGGTTAATGCGACGAATAAAGTAATCGTTCTGACATCGGACTCGCCCGTCTCAAGGCACCAGTTTTTTACAATTACTCATTTCCTCGAAGAATGAAAAATATGCAAAATTGTAACAATTATGATTCTGTTGTCATTTCGAATTACTAGAGCAATTCATGCTCCAGGAAC